GGTTACTATACTCTTATTATATTCTTGTAACCTCAGAAATTCTAAAATGAACATGAACATACGTAAAGGCTGAATTATGATTGCATTTCTAATTTCATGCCTGAATGTGTTATTGCAGTATTGTTATCTGGTTATATAAAGCTTTATGTTACAGTTTATTAGTTGACGCTTTCATGACTAATATTATTTACTTTGATATACCTGATCATGCATGAAATCGGGAATATTCACACTATTTATTTTCGATGATGCGTTTTTTCCTTGAAATTGTATCAAACGCAGGAATACATATGACCGACATCTGTCACGCTAGTCCAAGTACAAACATAAGTGATATGCGTTGTCATGGAAACTGATATAAAACGCAAACACCCGTCGTTTTTCTGTCATCTCCGTGCAAGACCTACATTCGTTTTCATTAATCATGGCTTGCGATGGCGACTCAACAGCTGAAAATTCTACTCCTTGGAACTATTTCTTACCTCCCGACTTCTTGTAGCCTTAGGGTAATGCGCAGTGGTAGTACGTACCATTCATGGATTCTGTAAGCAGTCATCATTCACTCAATCCTCACCATCAGTAACGAGGTTTAAACTATCATCATCACCATCATCATCATCATCGTCATCATCATCGTCATCATCATCGTCATCATCACCATCTCCATCACCTTCTTCTGCTTTCAAATCATCAGTAACGAAGTCGTTCATACCATTACCATCTTCATCATGAGCACCATCATCACCATCACCATCGTTTCAATCAAAATCTTCATCCGGCTAAACATCATCACTATTACCATCATTTTCTTAATCATCATCATCATAATCTCCACCACTGATATCCCAACCTCCTCGACGTCATCGTCGACTCATCCTCCTCCTCCCCTCATCGTCACCATCAGAACCACCAACAATAACAGCATCATTACCACCACCACCACCACCAGTTACATCGTCATCAACATCATCAACAATACACACAAAAAAAACAATATATAATTGTCATTAGTGGGATACTCTAAAATGTATGACCATGAAATGTGATTCTTCTCGGTCACAAATGCCATTACGAACTGCTACGAACGCCGTACGAACGATTTTCAGACAATGGAAATTCGGGAAGACAATGGAAAAACAGGGAGATTCGTACGAAATTATCGTTCGTACGAACCTTTGTGACCGTAGCATTACACTCACCCAGTGACCAAAGAAGGAATATCCATTCATCGAAACTCAGACATTTATATCTCTACTATCTCTAGTGATCTGAAAAGTAAATCGTGATGGCGACTGGACAAGAGAATACGTTACTGCACTGGTTCACTTTTGTAGATCCGCAGGGACTAAACTCCCTCGAGCATAGACTAGCAAAAACAATTGAATAACTTACATCTATAACATGCTGGGGGTCGAGGAGATTCGTAGTCTGAGATCAAAGACTCAGTTTTATTGCTTGCTCCATTGCCGTTTTTAAGGGTACAATATGGATAGCTCTTTGTCAACTGTGATATATTTTCATGTTCACTAACTTAGCTGACCTTCAATAACTCGAGATATTCATCTACCTGATAAAAGCTTTAATGATTTTCCTAACCGCTGACTCGCTATAACTCGCTTAACCTGTAACGGGTTTTCTTCCATGTGCATGTTAATATCATGTTATGATTGCATCACTGCTTCATCTTCTGATACTTACAACACGCTGTAAAATGATGATAATTTGAAAATGGAAAATAGGGTTGAGAAGGGAAGTTCAACATCAATGCTGATATAAAACATGGTGGTTATGTAGATAGTTTATCCCTAGATAGAACATAGGAAACCTAAAGAGGATTATCATTATTTTAAAAAAGAGAGATGAATTTCAAAGATTGGTGATGGGTAAGAGACTCTTACGTATGTCACGGGATCATCACAAGAATCCTTTAAAATTCGTTAGGTCATAATGTAGGAGTCAACTAGGCATAAATATCAAGCTACAGATGGCGCTATTCACCAATGTGGTAGATACATCGATTGGTACTCAATATAATCATTTTCATTTCACGTCCAAAGAATTAATTTCTTCTATTAATACTGTTAGTTAGATTTCAAGAGGCGCACTCTATTCATTAATTATTGTATAGCTCCTTTTCCTATGAATATTCCCCATGCTATTAAATATTTTATGATATATTCTCATCTATATAGCTGGTAACAATTCTAGTCTAAAAGCTGTGTGAAAGGAAGAATAACAAAGATCGAGAGAATAGTCAATAGAGAAAATAGGAAAAGATGATTCCGTATAAATGAGAGCTGTCTGTCATGGTATGAAAAAGATATAGATCCAAAATGTAGGTCTACACTGTCACATACTTCGTCCTTCAGCGCCATGGTTCTATAGATAAATGATAGACGAAAGATTATCAACGTCGCCTCGTTGATCATTGTTACTTGGGACATGTCACGTGATAGGTGCTCTCATGACCTCTTCCACCGTGATGGCATCCTAGGGACCAATCAATTACATGTTACCATGACGACCATGACATTAATGTGCTTTGTCTCATCCTGATGAAGTGTTACGAGTCAAACAATCACGAAAGGACATGCCATAAAAAGGCATGTATTTTATACTGCTTCAAATAACGAATGACAAATTGTATTTGACAGAGTCCCAATGCAAGCTAAAAGCAAGTGAGGAAGAGCAAGAAGAAGAAGAAGAAGAAGAAGAAGAAGAAGAAGAAGAAGAAGAAGAAGAAGAAGAAGAAGAAGAAGGAGAAGAAGAAGACGAAGAAGAAGAAGAAGAAGAAGAAGAAGAAGAACAAGAAGAACAAGAACAAGAAGAAGAAGGAGACGAGAAAGAGGAAGAAGAAGAAGGATGAGGAGGAGGAAGAGGAAGAGGAGGAGGAAGAGGGAGAGGAAGGGGAGGAGCTAGAGGAGGAGAAGGAGGAGGAGGAGGAAGATGAAGATGAAAATGAAGACGAAGTCTATGAGGGATGGAAGAAGATGACATGGCCAAAGAAGAATACAGAAGAATATTAAGAAGGGGGAAGAAAAAGCAAAAAGAGAAAGCTAACAATGATAACCTGATGAAAAGGGAAACAAAAGAGAGGAAAGAAGAAGACGGAAAAAAGGACCGAAACAGAGAAATATAAATAATGATCAATAGTTATCTTAGAAAGTACGATTACATCACATGTACACTTTTTGGAAGTGTGAGTGTGAAAACTGAATCCATTCAGTTGAATTGTTGTTTCAATATATGTCGGTTAGTCCTAGGACAAGCGTTGGATTTGCAGGAGTCATTGTTGGTGGGAGATGCAAAGCATTTGAATGAACCTGTGCTCAGGGAGCTCTCTTACATGAGAAATGAAATGAAGTCAGTGTTCTATACAGAACCTTCTGAGGGTTTGCGCCTCCAAAATAGGATAGAGCTGGGGAAAGATACCAAGAGATAAATTTGAAAGGGGGAACGTAGGAACGATTGGTAGGAGTTACCCGAAGTACACTATAGGACCATACCACAACCTCCACTACCACCACCACCACCACCACTACCCTCACCTTCACCACCACCATCACCACTACCATCATCATCATCATCATCATCATCATTATCATTATTTTCATCATCACCATTATTATCATCATCATCATCATTATCATTGTCAACACCACAACCACCACCACGCCCATCTCATCACTGATATCACAAGTAACATAGTTCAGAATCTGGCCGATTTAATTTTCTGATCTCCAATAATGTCAGACGGGTAGCGATTGGCAAACGGTGGACTCAGATGACTCAAATACAAAATCGGGATAGCGCCATCTTCAGCTCTTGAATGCTCATACAATAAAATCAGTCAAGTTCTAGAATCCTACCATTACTACATCCACAGCCCCCTCCACTACCATCACCACCACCAACACGGCCAACACTACCGCAACAACAATCACCACCACCACCACCACTATCACCATTTTTTCCAGACACCACGTACAGAGATGAGTGAACAGTTATCTGAAAAGAAAAGTCGAAAGAAACTCCGTACCTGTAAATGTATTTTGCGCGGATTAATTTTCACATAATTTAGATCATATTGATCCAATTGTACTGATGATAGCGGAATAACCATATCGTATCCAAAGAAAAGTGGTACATGTATACCCGCCTTTAAAAAAATGTAGTATGATTATTATCTTCATTACGACGTCATTCAAAATACATTGTTAACATTTAGAACGTGCGAAGCTCAATGAAGATTCAACATTTTAAACACTTTGATATCCTTCTCATTTATTCATTTATTTCCTTTAAACAAAATGAAAACAGAGTGTATGATAATATTAAAATAATTAAGCCTCAGGCACCCCCATGCAATCTCAATAATAGGTAGCAATAAAGCAAGTCCACACTTTTAAATATCTTGGGTACCCTATAGCATCAGATGAAGTCTGCGTGAAGTCTTTCGTCTTCTTTGTTGTTCAGGCAGGCAGCCAGTGGAACGGATTCGTTTAATAAAAGTATGGAAATGCAAGCATTACTTTAAAAAACAGAACTTTGTTATTCCTTGCTCATTTGTCCTGATTGAGGTGTCATATGAAAGGGTAGAAAATGAACTTTCTGGAAATGTGATTTTCTCTTTGAAATTCAGATGCCGTTAACCAAATGACTTTTTGGTACCCTTTCTTCAAATAGTTTTTAATCCCTCATGCGTGGAATGTGCATCGTATGAGTTGCATAGCACGAAAGAGGAGGATCTAAGCTTTACAAATGTGTGTCATTTATTAATTATAATTGTGATTAAGTTATGATAAAACAACGATTATTTTCGGTTTTGTTTTTTTCTGGGACGCACTGTATACTGCAACTATTAAAGCCTATAACAATTGACGTATACAATATTCTATGTTTTTATTACATCGTTTAAAGTATGTCGTGATATAAATATCAATAACAGTATCTATAACACCAAAACTATCTCTAAAAATAACAGTAAAATATATCTTAAGAGTAAACAATTGACAAGTGAAATGCTAAATTAATAAATGATATCATACTACCTATAATTCGATATTTCTCTAAATACATTTTCATAATGGTCTATGATATCGCAGGTGAAACAGTGGTTGAGTAGTCTTCAAGCACACACTCTTTTCGAAAACTATACAACATTTCTTCCGCTAGAAGTCTAAACAAGCTTAACAATTTCTAAATAACATATTATAGATAAGTATTGAAAATATTACAGTGTCTATGAAAGTATGGTGTAAGTTCAGTATAGCTCAGATCCTGTAGCAAAAGTTGTGGTTGACAAGTTAATAGAGTGTCTGCAAATAACAGATATCACGTACAAATTACCTCACATAAATATTAATATCTCACCAATCACCAAAATTCATGTACATAATTAATTTACGTATGGGGGAGCTGGTATATGCCTACAAATTATATCAGCATTAACTACATGTAAATGTAAATTGATATAAGGCTAGCTCTGAGCACTTTCAATCATGATGAACAGTCATTTCTAGCAGGTTTCTAGAAGCCAGAATTGGTGGTGAATGGGTTTCTACAAATACAGCTTGATTGTGATCCCTGGCACTTCTCTCCGTTGTGTGTTTCACACTCCAGATTACCACAACACCTAGTACTACCAGTGAGGCGACACGATTCTCCTTGTGTTGCACAGGACTTGAAATAAAAAATAGTGAAACATTGAGATAAATATCAACGAGTAACAATTCATTTTGTTGGTAAGCAAAGTGATAGACTTCATGCGTAATCAAGGATTAAATGGTAAAGTGAGTTTATCGTAGGAAGTTAGGAACGCCCTGTTTAGCAATGTCAAGCTCTTCGAATTCTCTGCTGTATAAGCAGTCATATGAGGATAACAATTTATTTCATGGGCAACAGGTACAGATCAGATAAAGGAAGATTATGACAGACAAAAAGTAAATGTGAAAATCAGAAGACGGCGAGGAAGATATATTACAGGTCAGTATACTCACGGCTTCCAATATGTTCCTGTTCGTTGATGGGGAGGCAGACGTGAATTCCTGGATACAAAATATACAAATGAGAATATTACAGTTCTACTTGTTAAATATGATTCAATTTCAAAAGCACGCATTTCCTTTACTTATTTTTGCATAACAGTAAGGAGGCGAGGATCTTGTCATGACACATTTGACGAAACTTAGACTGTAACGATACAAGGGCTATTTAATGAATGAATGAATGAATGAATAAATGAAATAAGGAATTATTGGATGAGTGATGGGTGAATGGAGTCAGATCAAGGCCAGTTGCAATATATAACGCGGGTATATAAATCATTTATCACCTTTCATTTCCATATGTTCTTATCTTTATTAGAAGACTTATATTACACTTATTTTTAAACAAAACTATTATATTAATGGAGAGGAGTGGAAATCCATTTTCAAAGGTGTCATAATTAGGGATCACTTTCTTTGGAGCTGAATCAACTCTAAAGAAGTGATCGAATAACTCTTTTGAATCACAATTTTTCGCGTGGATTTCCATTTCAAACGATTTTAGTACATATTGTTTACAATGTGTATAAAAAAAAGTCCACACTTTGAAAATATGCTCTAAAATGATACTTTCACTGTATCTGCATGATTTCTATTACACGATTGCGAGTTTTTATATTCATCTAAATAAGCGAATGCTCACTCAAGCGTAACGCATTGTCAATACTTTTAGTGCCATCCTATTGAATAGACCCTCATCCATTATTTTGTCATTTAAAATCATGCAGATATCCTTCAATGATCATTTTGGAGGATATTTTCAAAGTTTGAACCTTTTTCGTTACGTACTGTAGAGCACTATAATCTTATTGCGTATATTACCTCGACATCGTTGGCACCTCCTGATGCACCCTGGTATGTAGCTAGTACACACAGCATGGCCAGCATCAAGTATGTAGTATACACTCTCCGTGTGATTGGCGCCATCTTATACGTCACGTGACCTATCCACCATATGAATCAAAGCAGAACAGTAAAACTTGCAATGTTTCCCTTTTTTCAAAATCAAGTCCTGAGTAATATTCAATATTGTTTCAAAATATCTTTATTTCGTACTGTTCACCACTCGCAAGTAAAATGTGTGCATGTACAATGCATAGTTTCATTCTCACAGCAATATCTCACAGGATATATCCCCCCAATATTTCAGGTGGGGGGGAATGGCCTGTACAATCATCCCCCAATAATTCATCATCAACAAAAAAAAAGTGAAGAGAAAAATTAATGATGAGAGCCAATACGGACTCTGTGACGAATTCGTGATGAGATCGGAGACAAGGAGAAAGATTTTCGGATCGGACATTAGTATGACTTATAAGATAGTTCAGTAGTTGTTATATTGTTTCCTTTCACTCTTTTTAAAATTCACTTTATTTTATCTTTATTGTGTTTTTTTTTCACTCATTTTATTTCCTGATATTTCCTAAAACATTTTCAAAACGCGCTAAAAGTTACAGTCGTGTATATGTTTAACTCTTTAAATTTGGGCATTATTGCCAAGAAAAAAAATATCAACCAATTCCTCAATATAAAGAACTCTTAAAGGTAAAGGAAAGCATCTGAGCAAGAATATCACATGATGTTTTACATAGGAAAAGTGCCCCTTTAACTTATTAAGAAGTGCCCCTTTTACTTTGAAAAGTGCCCCTTTTCCTTCGACAAGTTCCCATTTTCATTTGCAATAAGTGTCCATTTTCCATTCTCATAAGTGCCCTTTTAATCTCTAGTAAGTGCCCCTAGTTATGTACGAGAAGTGCCTCTTTTCACTTTTGATAAGTGCCCCCTTCACCTCTGATAATTGTTCCTTTTCCTAATGATAAGCTCCCCATTATTTTTCGCACTGCGACCTCACACATCTTAAAAATTTTCCTCGCTCGCTCGCAAACAATTTTGTCAACAATCAAACCCAACTGCAAAGCATGATGCTTAAGCAATATCTTCTATAATGTATAAAGTGAAACAAATATTGAAATCATCCCTGATAGTTGTAATCACATTGTAGGGGTATATACAAATATATAAAAAATTGTACTTTTCGCTTTGATATTTCCCTTTGTAGGTGCCCTTTTCCCCCAGAAAGTGTCATTTTTTCTTGGTGCCCCCCCCCCCACGTTGAAAGTCGCTCGGTCTATCCTGAGTTACACACATGGATCTAGTGCCTCTTGAAAATAAGCCCTTTGTATGTACATAAACAAGTAATACAACAGAATACTCCAGTTCGATATTTTGGAGAAAGATTATAATGTCACAACTTATTTTTGTTTTATTGAAAAGCTGATGTAAGCCTATCTATTGTAGTCAAACGTGAAGGGATAAAATAGTTAAGGTGTTTTTGAAGGTTAGAATGTTATTAAGTTTGAAGTTTTGTTTATAACACCCTTCCAATTATAATGCAGCTCAAGACTGGTTATAGTTTTTGAAGAAAAAATAGTGCTCTGGTCAGGGCCTTAGGGGAATATTATGCTTATATTTTAGAGCGTATCTGTTATAATAAGTATGTCTGGGTGAAGAAGGAGATAATGGAAGTTAGTTGTTTGGTTGTTGGAACGTAAGTTTTATATTATGTTTTCTAAGAAACAGACAGATTGTATGAGAGCTTGCCACGAATGTAGCGAATTTGGGGTTTCGCCATGGTTCGTAAAAGGTCCAAAACATTCATTAATAGTGGCAAAGTATTGCCAAATAGTTGCTAAACTTCGCTAATACTATTGCTAACATTTTCTTATGGTGGCTAATACTAGTCGCCAACTGCCAAAATTCGCAACGTTTGTCAGCATTCGCCGCTCAGTGAGATGCCCCCTTAAAGGACAGTAGCGCTCTTTAGTGATACGAACTCGGGACCTCCCGATTACGAGATCACTGGGCCATCGCACCCCTCAGAGTTGCCAAAGCATAGCTCCTGATTAATGTACACTAAAAGTCCGCTGCACAAGAGGCGAAGAAATGTCTGAAGAAATGCAGACCTACGCTCAACAACTGAATTTATATTAATTATACCCAGATCCAGACTATCAACTACCAAGAAACTTTATACAATGGCGGCTTTAAAAACGTAGAACATTATTCCCCTTTCCATCAGAAAATTAAGCTGTCTTGCCACTTTCAAAAGATCCAATGAATGTACTATGTCCCATTTGCAGGCCCAAAAAAATGAAAATGTTATATTCTAACGGCATTTGAAAGATATTTCTAATTTAGAACTTCTCTAAAAAATGGTGGTGCTTGAAAATGCCTTCTAGTGGGAAAATAACGACTATTAGTTGTCAAATCGACTTAGGAGCTATAGAGCCAATAAGTAATAGTCTTGATTTTCAGACCATTGTACCGAATGGTCATACGTTTTATGCTGCGCAAAGATTCAATCAGTTTAATTTTGGCCATCACAAGAAGTGGGTTATTGATGGAGACAAAATGCTCATGTACCCTCTACAGCTCATTGTATGTATGTTATTATATTACCAAAGAAGAAAAAAGCCAGTCAGTCACTCAATAGTGTCTGACAGTGAAGTCTAGCAAGTAAACAGGTTTTCTTGCATAATTTGAATATTAGGACAAAGCTAACGTTCAAATTTCACAGATAGGACATACATGACATATTCATAATTCCTGCAAAGTTCTACAGAATTTGAGGTTGGCTGCAAAAGGGACATAATACCTAAAATGTACTTCTTCCCTTAATAATAAAGTATAATTTACCTATTTAAGAGTTTTATGTTTTTTCTCTTCTCATTCTGTTACTTTGTATAGAGTAGGCTTACGGTTGCACCATGTGAGAGGGGGAGGACTGGGGAGTCCTGAAAAAGACTGTCGGTAATCTTTCTTTCTTGAGTGTGTGTGTAAGCCTACTGTATATCTACATCACCATGCAAGCCGATACTTCTAAGCAGCATCTAAGGTATTTTTTGTTTTAGCGCTACAAAATAATCGATATCATTATCAATACAATTACAAACTGACGCAGTCAGAAAGACGTCTCATGTGCAACAGGAATAACGTAAGGGCCTACCTGATTTCGATGCGGTGTTCGAGTAGAATTCGGTGAGATGATGATATACTCTCTCGTAGCTTGATGTGACGAAGTGTCTCTATCCAGCTTTCTGTTTAAGTACTGTCTAGATAGCTTCTAGTATTATAGAAAATCGAAGCCTGCAATGACCTTCTGCTCGTAACCGACAAGTCACCGCATTCAAATTAAATTGCGAATAGTGCTCAACAACATGCTGGTGGATAAAACTTTCTAAAATTTTATTAAATATGACCTCGGAACACAGTTTTATTTTTTATTCAAAATGTTAATCATCGTCAATGTCATCATTCTGGCATCTCTCTTTTTTAAGACCTTCTTGTCTGTGTATGTACTACAGCTAGAATTCTTATTTGTTGATGGATTGAGTAGATGTCAAATCCTTCCGTTAGTAACCGACAAGTCACCACGTTCATGTATCTTAAATGTTCGTTTTGATTCATTTCCTCCCCATTTCTTTCTCCCTGTTTAATACTGATAAAATGTTCAATTTGTCCTTAATAATCAAAGCCGAATATTATAGTCATATTTCTTTATGCACGATAGCGCGAGAGAGAGAGAGAGAGAGAGTGGGGAGAGAGAGAGAAAGAGAGAAAGAGAGCAAGCGCGTAGCCAGGATTTGATTTTAGGGGGGGCGGTAGTGAGCATGCGAAGCGTGCGAATCACTTAAAAAGCGCGCTCCCTAGGGGGGTGGGTGCAGGGAGGGGGGGGGGGAGTTTCCTTTGAAAGAAGACGATTCGTTGTACCTTTCTCGACTCATAATCCTTGTCTGAATTCAGTCCGCCCCTCCTGCGCGAAGCGCGGAAGCTTTGACGTATTATTAGACAAAGAAAACGATTCGTTGTACCTTTCCCGACTCTTAATCCTTATCTGAATTCAGTTTCCTCCTCTCCCGCGCAAAGCGCGGAGACTTTGAAGTTTCATTACATTATTAGAGAAAGCTAGACGACTCAAAGTACCGTTCTCGACTCTTAATCCTTGTCTGAATTCCGCCCCCCCCCTCTCGCGCTAAACTTTGACATGTCATTAAATCATTAGAGAAGAAGATGATTGGTTGTACATTTCTCGACTCTTAATGCTTGTCTGAATTCAGTCCCCTCCCCCCTCCTCCTGCGCGAAGCTTTGACGTATTATTAGACAAAGAAGACGATTCGTTGTACCTTTCCCGACTCTTAATCCATATCTGTATTCAGTTCTCCCCTTTCCGCGCGAAGCGCGGAAGCTTTGACGTTTCATTAAATTATTAGAGAAAGGAGACGATTCGTTGTACCGTTCTCGACTCCTTTTCCCTTTTTCTTCCTACGTCCTCCTACTTTTTTCTTCTCTTTCTCTCTCTTTTTTTTTTTGGGGGGGGGGGCGACCGCCCCCACCACCCCCTGGCTACGCGCCTGAAAGAGAGGAGGAGAGAGAGGGGGGAGGGAGAGGGAAAAAGAGAGAATATATTAACTGACAATTATTGTGTACAACTATGAATTGCATCCTTTTCAATATCATATAATTTGCTGCCAATATTCAGAATCTAAATATGATGAATCTACATAATACACCAACGATATGTCATCACATATGATATAGTATGTAATTTTTTTTTTTTTTTTTTGCTTCATTGTCTCTCTCCCCCCCCCCCCCCACCCTCTTTTACAGGCTGGCCCTTACCATACCTTACCAACATTTCTTCATTTATTACCAAACTCGTTTTTTCTGTTTTGCTCTTTTGTACTTTTTCTTGTATCTCCCTCTCTCTCTTCTTTTTCTTTTCCATCACCATTTCTCCTACATATATCTTTCTTCCTTCTCAACTTTTCTCTATTGTTGTTTTGTTCTGTTTTGCGCTTTCGCTCTCCATCTTAATGTACACTGTTGGTCATAATGGTGGAATAATTATTTTAACCCCAATTTATTGAATGATTTTGACAATGATTTATTCCTAGTAGATCTAGATAATAGTAAACATTCTCAGATGTAATTGAAAGACAATTGGGGAGTGTTTGTTTTGCGTGACTGCTAAAGCATGTGTGTGCTACAATGCTAATCAACTAGGGGACCTACGTTCGTAATGGGGATTAATACCTCATAAAAGGGTACTAATATAGCACATCGACACGGTTTTGATCCTTGGGGCTCACAGTAACGAGGCCATTGCTTAGCCAATGAATCATGAATGTACGCAGCGGGTGCTAGGGTACGTCGACGCTCCCACAAAAACTAAAAAACTAAGAAAATGCAATAAATTTTAAATAATTTATTGCATTTTGCCCCGACCTCCAACATAAAAAATCTTCTATGTGGGCATGACTTGAACCATGCATGACCATACCGAGGAATTTTTCCTGTTGGGAACTGGGGGAAATGCAATGAATTATTGAACATCTTTTGCATTTTTTTTTTTTTTTTTTTTTTTTTTGTGGGGGCGTCGACGTACCCTAGCGCCCGCTGCGTACATTCATGATTCATTGGCTAAGCAATGGCCTCGTTACTGTGAGCCCCAAGGATCAAAACCGTGTCGATGTGCTATATTAGTACCCTTTTATGAGGTATTAATCCCCATTACGAACGTAGGTCCCCTAGTTGATTAGCATTGTAGCACACACATGCTTTAGCAGTCACGCAAAACAAACACTCCCCAATTGTCATTCAATAAAATCTGAGAATGTAAACTAATATTTAGATCTATTAGGAATAAATAATTGTCAAATGGGGCACGTGTCAAAATAAAAGGGGGTGTTATTAGAGATGAAAAGAGCACTTATCAGGAGGAAAAGGGGACACTTGTCAAAATAAAACGATTAGTCTCTCAGAATTGAATAGGGTCATTTACCAGACATGATAAGGAGCACTAGTAGGAGAATGAAAAAGGACTATTTTCATAGGTGAAAAGGGGCATTTATGAAAAGGCGAAGGGCTCTTTGTTAAATGGGGGCACTTATCATAAGGAAAAGGGGCACGTATTAGAAAGGAAAGGGGGCACATGTGAAAATATGGTGCGCTTATCCGAGTTAAAAAGAGGTAGTTATTAAAAGGGAAAGGGGCACTTCTTACAAAGGAAAAGGGGCAATTGTCAAAGTAAAAGGGGCACCTCTAAGATTTGAATAGGGCAAATATCAGAGGTGAAGGAGGCGCTTAACAAAAGTGAAAAGAGGCGCTTCTCGTATCCGAAAAGAGGCACTTACTAGAGATTAAAAAGGGCACTTATGAGAATGGAAAATACACACTTATTGCAAAGGAAACTGGGAACTTGTCTGGGAAAAGAGGTACGTGTCAAAATAAAAGGGGCACATATCAGAGGTGGAAAGGAGAGGGGCACTTTTAAAAATTAACAGGGGCACATATCAAAGTAATATGGGCACTTTTTATGTAAAAAGGGGCGCTTCTTACAAAATTAAAGGGGCACTTTTCCCATGGAAAAAGGGGCACTTTTTGGGTACTTGAAAAAGTAGGGGGCACTGTGCCCCCCCCCTGCCCCCCGGGTCCACCGACTCTGTATTCGCGGGGCTGTAGGCTCCTCCTATTTTCTTCGGTACATAGTCCTAACCACACTATCTATTGTGCCTTGTGATTTTATATTTATTTTATATCTAATTGAATGTATAACTTCTCTCTTGATTGGTATATTGAACTTATGGAATTATGTTGGTGTGTGGGTATTGTGGATGGAAATTGTAAAGGCGTGTTCACTTATCACACAACATAACTCACTTTTTAATTTAACTACGAGGAAACAAGGTTGCACTGGCAATAACATACATGATAACAAGTATTCCCTTTTCGTTATTTTATTGGGTACTGATTTGCAGACACAACACTTGCAAAGTGTAGTCATGCAAGCAAATAAATGATTCAGAATGAGGATCGTGGATATTGCACTAGCACGGAGTTTAAATGGTCATGTAATTAGATGGACATGAATAAATGCAGTGAATGAATAGAGCTTACGACAATGGTAGAAATGACGTCGAAAGTCCATGAAGATGATGACGGATGAAACGAAGAAAGGGGCTCACGCGATGATTGTGCGGAGGCTTGATGATGGAAACGCGACTTCGTTGACGTGGCTGAAAAGCCGAGAAGAACGCGATGTCGATGCCGACGCTCATGATGATGATGAATGTAGCGCTCGGGCGAGAAGAAAAGAGAAGAGATGTGGCGCTCGACGACGAGTCAGTGAGTCGCTCGATGTCGGAGGCCCAGGTTGAAATGTAGACATCAAAGCCGGTATAGTGGTGATCGTGAAGAGCAATGAGTCGCTCGATGCTGGATCGATATGAGCCGGACTTTGAATTGAAATCATCAGAGTTGCAGTGAGATGGACATGTTGATGAACGTTCAGGCGAGCTACAGTGAATCAAGCTCGTGTGTGAAAAGAGCTACCGGAACGAAGAAGAGGGCAGCTCCCAAGCGGAGAATCAGGTGCCATGTCGGGTCCTGATTCAAACGTTCCACTGCAAGACTGCCCGTCCTTTGAAGACGGCAGGATAAAGAATTGATGTGCCATACAAGAGGTTATAGGCCCGGAAGAGAATTCTCCAAATGAAATGCAGGAGGTTAGAACTGAAGATGGATTTGCTCCTTGTGTATGCATGGAGCAAATTGGGGTAGAGGTGACATTCTCATATTAACGTGTTGCTCCGACGAAGAACTATGAGAAGTGTAGTAGTGAAGGAAGTTAGAGAAAAAATGATGTTTTCATCCTTCTTGGGAGGAAGGATAAAACAAAGAGAGTTCTGTACCGATTTCTGGGAAGTTAGGGCTGGTCACTGGTGATAACTGCAGTGTCTTGGGCCATTACGCCATTAAGCTGACACTAATTGTTGATAAATATATGGGGTTGGCAGTGCCTGGCTTATGTCAGAGGGCAATGTCCTCCCAAATTGGGTTTGCAAAGTAACAAATGAAATTGGGAGATGAAGATGAAATGAGGAAAATACTACAAACTGATCTCGAGGTTGGGTGACCTAAGGGTCATTTTATATATCCTATTTTGTAATTGATTGGCTAATAAGGTCATGTGACTTTGAAGCCTCGTCGGGCGCCTGAGTATTTAAATGCCATGTGCGAGATGTCCTGCTTAATTCGCTCGATCTATAGGGCGGCCCAGCCTCTGAGAGAATAAGCTATTTTAAAATGTCCTTAAATAAATAATCTTCGTTTGAATTATTGGAGCTTCGGCTGAGTTTATAAATAATAAAGTGGACTTCAATATATCCGAGCTGTTTCGTTTTCATTTTGCTTCTGAACTCG